TAGCTGCAAGAGTGACTCAACAGGCGGAGGCCTCAGACAGCACCCACCCGACAGCTCCTCATCGTCTTCATATTCGATCAACGAGAATACGGTTGTCAGCCAAGCATCGAAATCACGACCGCTTCGCTTCTGCCTCAGCCCTGAAAAGGAAAAAAGCCAAAGACCTCAGGAACAAGAATACACTGATGGATGCCAGCATGCGCAATTTGAAAGAAACTATGGCCGTTCGACATTCCGATTGCAGAGCCAGTCAGGCGAGTGAAGCGGACTGAAAACATTTGTGGTGAAAAAAATACTATGGACGTGTACCAGTCCTCCAAAAAGGACAACCACGCAAGTAGGCCGCACAGCAGAAATACCGAGCATACTCCACGGCCAGCTTCGACGACACCACGTTTAGGCAGGACGACTTCCTGTCGTGGGGACGACGCTCAGCAGCTTGCGGCCAACGCTAATCAGCTAAAATTGAACCAGATTGAGGCGCTCATAGCCGAAATGCTCAACAAAGATGCCAACAGGAAGGTGAAGCACAGCAGTTAGCCAGTGGTATGATTTATGTGACCACACGGTTGGTTATACACATTTTTGCGTCACGGGTGAGAAGCAAATCGCAGTTTCATGTTAAGGAAGCACACTGCATTATAATTTATTGCTACGAGTGTGCGCCGTTACGAAATGCAATTATTATTCGATAGCTCCTCGTGCGCTACGTGTGGGCGCACATGATTCTCAACAGATAAGAGATGCTGATTGTACTTTATACATGGAATATATCGTATGTATTTGATACTGCATTACCCAATTTATTTTTCAGAAAAACAAGGACACAAAAAAGTACGAAATTATTTTCTCATACGTGATTGCTCACTAAAAGACAAACTACAGCTAAGCGTCATAAGCTTGGGCTTTGCCATTGGGTCCACAGCGGAAATGATTAAATGCGGAACATTTCTTTGCGAATTGCAGACACTTTGAACATTTCTATCTTTGTATACATGTGGCCACCTATGGTTGCGTGCTCTCGAGACCATTTTCTTAAATTGCTGTAGTATGGGAGAGTAAATGTGTTTGAAGATTGTGTCTGTTGCGTCATGACATGAATAATCCAAACCCTTTCTTCCATACACGTGTGGCACATACCCGCATAAAACGATTCTTAAAAAACCCATTTCCTAAAAATACAACTTCTTAAAAAAGCTCTTTTCCCCCATACTGAACCGCCAGAGCCATGCGGCGCGGTCTGGTCGGGAACGATATGTTAGTGAAAGGAAGGATACACAGACTGCAGACATTCTAAAGGTGAACGTCAAAAAAGGAGAAAAGGGAGAGAGAGGGAGGGGAAGGAGAAGGAAGAGCGAAAGGGGCACCCGGGGAGTCCACCTTATATTCTCATTGCTTTTTTTCTGTCTTTCTTTCTTTACTTTCCCTCTTTCTTTCTCTCCTTCTCTGATTTAACATTGCATAAAGCTGAACACCAACAAACTCTACCATCAATCCCCCTTCCTTCTTACTTCAGACGATTCTCCCTTCCCTCGAAAGATTGCGTGTGTTACAAGCAACAAAACGTGTAGAATGTGGAGTCTCATGAGCGGAAAATGTGAAAACACGCAGTAGTTCCGTATGGCCGTATGGAGTTTCCAGCCTCATTTTTTTCCACAAGCTCTATCACAGTCAACTCGACCACCCGCCCTATATCTTGCCTCCTGCCCGCGCATCTCACCGCACCACTCATTCTTTCATGTCGGCCGGCCACGCGCCCATACCACGACATTTTCCGCCTGCTTCTTTTTTCGCGCAGCTTCCGACTGGGATGGGCTTTCCACTGATCTCGCCACCATAATGTGCCACTCAACATTTACACAAAATGTCACTCGTTTCTTTTCAATTTGAATACATTAGATTGTTGCTTTTTGTGCCACTGGTTCTCACTTTGTCTTCTTTTTTTGGCAAGGTGTTACTCCTGTTATTATGTATACTGATCCTGCACATGTATTATTTTTTTTCTGTATTGGTTACCCCTGTTCATACTTGTACCCATCCTGCATATGTATTACATTTGTTGTATGTTTCCCACCCCTCATGTAATACCCCCTCTAGGGGGTCCTTACGGTAACAAAGTGAAGTGAAGTGAAGTGAAGTGAAGGCAGTTTCGTAAACGGGCACACACAAAAAATTCACAGGAGAGGGCAGCAGTCTGGTTACATCAGCGTGAACTCTGAAGGGTGAGGCTGATAGATATTTGAGGTTTAACATCCCAAAACAACCATATGATTATGAGAGATGCCGTAGTGAAGGCTCCAGAAATTTCGACCACCTGGGGTTCTTTACCCTGCACCCTAATTTGAGCACATGGGCCTACAACTTTACCGCTTCCATTAGAAATGCAGCCGCCACAGCCGGGATTCGATCCCGCGACCTATGGGTCAGCAGCCGAGTACCTTAGCCACTAGACAAACGCGGCAGGGCAGGTGGGCGAGGGTGGATGTTGCGTTCGGGACAGCAGAAATATGCCTGTGCGTAGAAACTGCTGATGAAATAGGCTGCATTTTTGTGAGGAATGAACGAAGCTGGGAAGCCTTGAAGGTTCGGTAGATCAATATTCGTAGGCGTCGCTAGCTTTCCTGCGTGCGTCCTCGTTGTCGTAAATTGATGGGACTGTGCTTTTAATCTTTGCGGGGTAAAGCGGTTGACTTATTGTCTTATTCGGTGTTTTCTGAGGTTCTAGAGTTGTAATCTTATCTTCAACTATTGTGCCAAATCCGTTTCTGGCGCCGATTCCTCATGCGAAGATACCTCACGTCTTTAATTTTCTTTAAGGGGCTTGCTTTGGGTCATCGTTCTTGTTGGTGTATACGCTACACAGTGTCTGAGATTCGCCGACTCGCTTTTCTTGACATCGCTGTTGTTGCTGTGGAACGTGCTGAGGTGTTAGCACTTCTTAAACACCGCACCGGCTTTCTTGACAACTTGATGTGGTCCTCTGTAAGCATATATATATATATATATATATATATATATATATATATATGGCCGTTGTGACGTAGCGGCTCACTAAAATCCACCTCCTGGCTGCCATTCCTTTGTTCAATAAGTAGTTGGTTGCGTTGTGTGGTAAAGAAGAATACAACGTGAGAAGTTTACTTGCTTCATTTTCAGAAGCGCAACCAACACAGCGCCAAATGTTTTCTGTGCTACACTTTAGCGAAAAGAAAAGCCACTAAATGTTCAGGAATGCTGCACTAGTAGTAATAATTGCTGGAACTGTACGTGCCAAAACTACGATAAGGGTATGAGGCGCGCCGTAGAGAACTGGATTTAAAAAACGTGATTTCCCGCAGGATCCGCTGAGCGCGTAGTGGACGTGTCCCAATCTGTGTAGCCATAGAGAAGAGCTCCGGAAATTTTGACCACCTGGGGTTCTTTGACGCATATTTAAACACATGCTTACACGCATGCATCCAAGTAGTATACAATTTTCGCCTCCTTTGCAAACGCTAGAGCCACGTCCAGGATCGAATCCGTCTTCTTCGTTTTAGCAGCGGAGCACCGCAACCACTGACAGATAAACTTGTTGGTAGCATCGGGCGGAAACACACACGGAGAAACGTGAAGTACTGGATGAACACAAGCGCCAACTTTCAACCAAACGTCTTCTCAGGTATTGAATTCCGATATTAAGGCGAACAAGATGTACTTCATCGAGACTGGTCTCCCCGCTCCTTTGTCTGAGTGCGAATGTCAGTCAAACACAGTGCATCGCAAAATCGCGCAAGTGAGGACATATAGTTTAACATCGAGTCATGCAAATATATTCGAGAGTTAGCGCTTATGCTCGTTCAGTACTTGTTTTTTTTTGTTTCTGTATGCCCTCCCTCCTTAATATATGAAACGCTTTATGATGATACCAACAAGCTTATATTCGTATCCTTTTTACTGACAGTATAAAAAAGCATATTTCAATGTAATTCCAACCCGTGACGCAGTGACCATGTGCGGTCTGCCTGCTCGGTAGCTCAATTATTATGACCACATCGCACGCCAGTCATTACGTGATAAAATGCGTGTTACGAAGATAATACGGCCCATGACGCCAGTCGAAGGAGTGAAAGCGTTGTAGAAAACATCACTTCGGAACGTGTTATTCGACAAGCGAAAACATGATATTAGGCTGAAATGAAAGCTTCGCCTTAGTGTTGAAATCGCCGATAAATATGCAAGTTTTCATCATGTTTTTTTTTTCCGGCAGCCCATTTTTGTCCCAAAAACAACGTGTGATTTTAATAGCTTAGATAGATTCCTATTGTTCAAACTTGATTCGCTGTTGGAACAGAATATGAAGCCATGATGTTCACAATGATGCATTTGTGAAGTGTGGTGCAGCTTTTCGAGCGCGCCCCTTACATAAATTTGAGATTTGCCCCTCTACGCATTTTGACCGCCGAAAAACGACCCCTTCCCCTTCAAAACGTGCGTTTTCAGCTGTGGCCACAGGGAGCACTAATCATCTATTGTCAATAAGGATTCTTCATGTGAACAGGCAGGGAGGCGCACACATGAAAGCGTTACTGAAAGGTGAATATTCTTTTGGTGACAGAAGGAACGACTTCTCAGCTGAATAAACTGACCTCGCTTAGATGCGCTCAAGTACTGGCGTAGATTCGTTTTATCAGTTTAGTTACTGGGTGAATGGCAAGCGTATATGCAATGCCTATTCTGACACATATTCGACAAAAGGTTTTGTGTGGCAGTTGCCAACTCGCGTCCAGATGTGTAATTTTAGGGTGTCATGCCACTGCTCTGATGCACCTTACCCGCGTGTGTACAATACTCTTTCTGGTCTTACGCAACGCGACGTGAGTTCTGCGAATTTAACTTGGCTGCTTCCTGCCTTGTCTCCTCTCTGGCTTTGTCTTAATGCTGCCCGTTGACACGAATCATAACCTGGTTGCTTAAAACTTCATTCTCCTAATTGAAGCTTCTACGCGGCGTGAAACATGAAATAAGGATTTATGTTTTATTGGAACCGCAACAGTTGTGTTAAAACGAAAAGAAAGTGAGCGCCAGAAATTAAAAAAAATATGGTGGTCGAAGGAGTGTTTAGGTCATCGTCATCATCAGAGACAGCTGTCGGGTGTTTCAAGTAATCGCAGCAGGGCTGGGTGAAAGCGCCGCTCGTTCAGTTCTTCCCACTGGTCGCCACATCCTTGAAAACGTCTTTCGAGCGCCAGGCTGTCTCTTCAACCCGGAAGTCTCTGACGACAGCCGGCGCCAGCTTGCTCAGTATAGCGACGGCCATGTTGAGAGGTTCCGGAGCACCGTCAAGCAAGACGTACGTTCCTTCCAGCCACGTGAGCCACACGTCGATTGGCGCCAGCTTGTCCTCACCGACCTCGAACAATGCGTTCAGTGTCACGTAGCTTGAAGTTGTCGACAGCTTGCCCGAGAGTGTGGAGCAGTACCTACATCGGAGTTAAAATTACCAAAAATTACAAAAAGTGTGTTTGAAGCTTTTCCTATAGCAAAAAACAAAACAAAAACAGCAATGGTTTGGTATCTTAATCGGGAAAACACTATACTTTTTACTATTGATAGCACTGAAAACACCAGTGCCAAAATAATCTGTTGTTGGGCTGGTTCGTCGGGCATAACTGATTGAGACATAATGTGCAAGTAATAATAGGACAAACACAAGAAAAGTACAAGCGCAGCTCTTGACTCTCCTAAACAATGTCACACATATACGCTTTTGTCACGCATGCGCTTACGGGAATAAAGAAACGCGTGCGCACTGCTGGAGCTCGCTCGAAAATTCGAATTCGGCGTGCAGGAAAGTGATGCATGGTTTGTTTGCTAATATGACGATCTCTCTTCTTCGTTACAAAAAATCACAGCCTATCCGCGAGGTGAATGATGTCGAGTGGGCCGAAGCGGACGGACTGACGCACAGACGGACGCACAGACGGACACACAGACAGACGCATGGACAGATGGATGGAGGGACGCTTCACACCACTCATCATCATTCACTCCGTGGATATGCTGTGACACCGTTTTTATGCACATGCAATGCAACTGGCTACTACGCCGGCTACGACGACACGCGACATACGACCGACAACGTGAGGGGCGTCGCCCCTAAAAGATCGCCTCAAGCAAGTCTCGAAGAGAAGTGCTACCACTGTTTTCCAGATTGAGTGTGCCCGACAATACAGCATCGAAACCAAATAGAATGACACGAACCACCATACGTGCACCTTTCTCTTCTTCCTTAAATATTTTTTAAATTTTTTCACAACCTGTAATTGGCGTAACATTCAGTATGGCTGAACCATAATAAAACCAGTCAGTGAAGAAGTTTATTAAGAAGTCCTGAGGAGTTTCGGTCACCAGGATATCCATGAGGGACGTCCTAGCAGCCGCTAGTGTAGGTGACCCCCGACTTATGGGGCCCTCTCGACTGCCTTTAGTTGGTGTTGGAACTCGGGGCTCCTGCGCGCCTCTCCCTATTCGGACTCACTGCCGAGAGGTCTCTAAGGTAACGCGGGGCATCGCCAGAGCATGTGTGTGAGTGAACAGTACACTTCTGTTCAGACGGGGCATTCTAGAATTATGTCTCAATTGTAACGACCCCGTGATAGGTACGATCTCGTTTGTAGCATGCGAACAGCTACCGCTTGCACGCGTTCAAGCTTTGTATGTGGTAAAGGGTGTTGACTTCCATCGTTTTGGTAGTAAGAGGTAATTTTGTGCAAGGTGGGTCACGGCAGGGCTAGAGAAGCCGTACACGCGCAGTGCGCGCGTGCCGCTTCTCTAGTCTCACCATGGGTGAGTAAAAGGTAATTAAACTGTTACGAGTAAAGGGGTCTTTGTTACGTTTTACGCTGTTTAGCATTACTTGTCCTTGGTTCTTTAGGGGTTAAGCTCCTTAAGGCGTGGGTCGGTCGTCTCCTGTATGTATGCATGTATGTAGTAACCACCTCACAGCATATCCACGGAGGCCCCGCCGCGGTGGTCTAGTGGCTAAGGTACTCGGCTGCTGACCCGCAGGGCGCGGGTTCGAATCCCGGCTGCGGCGGCTGCATTTCCGATGGAGGCGGAAATGTTGTAGGCCCGTGTGCTCAGATTTGGGTGCACGTTAAAGAACCCCAGAAGGTCAAAATTTCCGGAGCCCTCCACTACGGCGTCTCTCATAATCATATCGTGGTTTTGGGACGTTAAACCCCACAAATCAATCAATCAAGCGTATCCACGGAGTGAGTAATGATGAGTGGTGTTAACCTTCGGAGGGTTTTATCGGCAAAACGTGAATCGCCCGCTGCCTGCGTCCGTGCAATGTCTGCCTGTCTGTTTGACGCACGAATGGATGGACGCATGGACGGCTGCATGCACGGACGGACGCACAGATGGACGTACGGATGGACGCATCGAAGGACGGACGGATAGATGGACGCACGGATGCATGGACGCCGAGTGGACGCACGGGCGGACGGAAACGCGGATGGACTGATGGACGCTTCGCCCCACTCATCATAATTCCCTCCGTGAATATGCTGCGATTTTTTTTTCTACATTATAGGCTAGACTTAAAAGCTTTGGTGCTCATGCATGCTTAGGAAAGATAGCTGGAGGGTTAAAATGCGAAGCATTTCTTAGTGAGCTTTGGCGGCTTGGATAGATACGTTCAATCTATCTATCTATCTATCTATCTATCTATCTATCCATCCATCCGCTTACGTCTGGGTGCTCTCGTGGTCACCCCTTTAACTTGGCGTGAACCAAAATTAGCACGGGAGGGTAAGATGGTTTGACGAATATGACGCGCTGGTGAAGACATGAATAATTTCACAATCGCGTCGCGTACGCCGTCAAACACTTCCCGCCAGACAGTGGCGCATACGCCCGGGCGGGTATGTGCCGCTGGTACGCGGGTATATATGCCACAAGTGATTGACACTTTTTATTTACACAGGAACGACAACACACATGAGCAATTTCAGCGTGTGAGCGTTAAGCAATACCGGACATCGATAGCATCGACCCAACGAAGGCATAGAATAAATGTCATTGTTAAGAAAAACCTGACATAAGCAGCGTTGACCCCCCGACGAATGCAAATAATGAAAATCAGGGTCCCAGCAGGAATCGAACCCAAGCATTCTGCGTCGCAGTCAAGCATTCTACCACAAAGCCACGCCAGGTATCGAAACTAATTTTCAAATAGACGTCAATCTTCGCGATACGTTAATAGTGGTTACAGTGCTGCCTACTCAATTTTATAAACATTACATATGTACTCCTTTGATACAGCCATTACGAAGGTGAACGTTAATTGTGGTTAGTTGCTTTGAGCTGTAGTTGAATTATGTAGCAGTGTACAGGGCCAGCATCTTCACGAGCATAAGCGCTACATATAAGCTTTTGGTGTTGCTAATACGCATGTCCCAGTGTACATCGTCGCGCAAGTGCAAACAACTGGTTATATAAACATCTACAACTCTTCTACATATGCGTGTGCGTGCAAAATTTGTAGACGTATGTAGCGTCATTTCATAGCATGTCGCTTATTTATGAAAAATTGCAACATGGTCGCATTCCTTCTGCATGCTTCGTATAAACGTCGATTCCCAGGTACGTAGGATCTGCCGAATTTTTTTCTACTTGCATTAACAGCGACACATCTGCATGCAGAACCTCGTTTGCGTTGCAGGAGTGTGGGATCGCATATATGGAATACGTGTGGTGATGACAGCACGCCTTTTCATAAGTACATTTTTCAGAGGCGAAGCAGTTCGGACTCTAGGCCTGTCTGTTGTGCGTTGTTCGCTGTCCAGTGCAGCACGTGCAAGGTACCCTGCGTACGTCCACCGTAACTTTCATAAAGTAAACAAGTACCCACTATGCCACTACGTCATTCGTCATTCTGATGGTATGTGTGGTATACGCAATACGCCTGTAAGGCATTATGGGCACTTTGTAGGACTGATGATGGGACTGACGACTAAACTTGACAATCGCATGATTTCTTAAGGGACTGGTGAAGATAAAGACAAAGTGTGTTTCAGACGACACATTATCTTTCTGCCATGAATGAAAAGGAACGTGAACGCGCTCTCCCTCGTAAAAGGCAACGCTGACGCAAACTTGGGAGAACCTTCAACTTCGCTTTTAAGAGTTGAACGCGATAGCGAAATCCGGCCCCTAGTGCGCCCTTCGACCGCTAAGTGCATACTTATTAATGTTTTGTTACATACACACACGCACGCTCGCACTCACTGATACACACACGCACCCAGTAGATTGTACCAGCGTGCGCGCTAGAATGGTACATGTTTTTTATCTAAAGCAAAAGTCGCATGGCCTCCAAGATACAAACCGTGCGCTCGCCATCTCCGAGACCATAAAGAGTCTCACAATGCCTTACAGATAGCAGCACGTTATCTAGCGCTTGCTGTTTGCTTGATCAACGCCTCTGGAAAGGCATCATATGTTTTCCACTAGATCGATTTAGCTATCTAGTTTTAGAGCTGTTTGAAAGTTCCTGTGTGTTTTAGGGGCGTCCTGCACTATCCCGGCCTTTTTTGACGTAGTTTGAGGCCTCACAAGTGCACCTACAAATCGCCGAATGGGCTCGTTTTCGTCGTGACACCTGTCGAACGAAATGCATTAAAGGGGTCCTGAAACACTTTTTCAAGTAACCATGAATTGAGTTCACTAGAAGAGCTTATTGCCTCACGAATTTAACGTCGCAAAACATTTAGGAATTTGTCCAGTGCGAGTGGACTTACAAAGATCGGTCGCATGCTGCAATTGCATTCTATCTTCTCTCGCCTCGACGAAAGCGCTGGAAGCTAAGCAGGGAGGGGTGTCAGGGGCAAATAAACCACGCCACCCACGCCTGGTGATCATGAGCACTTCTTCAATGCGCGGCTTCTTCAGTGTGATCGCGCACGCACGCATGGACAAGTAGCGGGCTCCCGTGGCGATCTCTGTAACGAGCTTTTTCACTCACGGACGATTTTTCGCTCACAAACAATGCGGCCGACGCCGACGTCGGAATTTTGCGACACGAGCTCTCCAATGCTCTCTCGTTAAAACAGTTTAGCCCGGACGCGAAAGTTCGGAAAGCAGTGGCAACATGGCAATGCTGACAACAGTTGCTGCATCTTCGGAGGTGGGAGCGCGGCATGGGGCGGCTCAACGTCTCCGCAGAGAGCAAGCTACTCGTTCACTCGTCACGACTCACTTCGCGGGTATGCGTGGATATTCTTTTGTTGTTCCGCACAGCTAGGAAGCAGTCGTTCTGCGTGCTCTTTTTTCATTTAAACAATTATCTGCAGCTTTCACAAAGCACCCATATCGTGCAGTCTTTCTTTAATAAACATCCGTTTTCAGACAGCACCTGTCTGCTCTAGCTGTGCCCTGTTTTTTCTGGGCTGAGCCTCACTATGAATTTATACCAGCTCACTCACTTTACTTCAGCTCTCCTTTAGCCTGTGCTGTTGAAATATATATCCCAGTCAATCGGGTCTAATTAAGGTCTCCCATTAGGTGTTCACAAACGCCGTCGACTCACGAACCTCCACGGTACGATGAAACGCAGCGCTGCCCGATTGCTCAGGGAGACTTCGAGCATTGGCGAACCCTTTCTGCAAAAGGGCCGAGGCGCACCGCGTACCTCCAGTGTGGATAGACCTAGCAAGTAAATATTGCCGAAAGCCAGTCCCGGCAGCATCCCATCGCTTTCGGAGTTCGGTATCTCGTAGGACGCGGGCAGTCGCTGAAGGAACTCGTCCAGTGCTACTTCCAGGTCGAAGCCGGGGAATGAGCACTCGCCTGCAAGACAACGTCACAGCATACCCCAGCAGGATTTCATAGATAAGCACGCAAGAAGAGAAAATAAAGCGTATGAAGTAAGCCATGCTACACGTTCCTTCGTAACACATTTAGAGAAAAGACAAGTAAGCCAAGGATTCAATACAACGGTACAACCGACTTAGCAACGGCATGATTTGTTGTAGCACGAAAAGTCACTACAAGCCTAATCAATGAATCTTCGCATCTCCCTTTTTTTGTGCACTTTAAACAAATATACCAATTAAGTAGGCCAATGAAGCCTCTCTTTCGATGTTCACAAAGGCCATCGACTACGTCATCGCGAGTGTTCTAAAGCATCCCGATATAACGATGCCACTTCATCATGTGATCGGGGCGTGACATGTCAGGAGAATTTTTCTTCCCTATCCGATCCCTGTCCCCTTACTGCAAGGCAGCACACCGGATGCTACAATTTTGGTAGACATCCCTGCCGTTCACTCAATTTATGCTACCTGTGCTTGCTTCCCACTTCAGAAGCAAACGAAGATGAAATTGAAGTGTACCATCAAATCTGAGATAATAAAGAAACAATCAACAAAGATAATATGCTTTAACATTGTAAAACGGTGATGCGATTATGAGTGACGCCGTCGGAAGTGTCCTCAGTGTTCGACTACCTGGTGCTCTGACATCACACACTACGTGGCTTTCTAGCGTTTTGCCTGCTTTAAAATGTACTCGTCGCGGTCGGAATCCAACCCGTGACCTTCGGGTAAGCAGCCGAGCCCCTTAACTTCTAAACTACCAAGGCTTACCTAATAAATTCCCGATGAAGGTTGCTTTAGAGTAAGGTTGAAAAAAAATAAAGGTCAGTATTGTCAGTAAACTTGGTTAGGGAAACAGCGTTGCCAACCGTAGCGTAATTACCCTTCTTGTAGGCTACTCGAAATTTTATGTCACTCCCATGGGGCAAACACAAAAGACCACGCATCTTTGTGCGAAGTTTTGTTGTTTTTCGCGGGTGTTTTTTCACCCTCTTGGTCATCTGCTCATTGCTTGCAGGGAGTTTTTAGATTTAGGGATGGTGACTGACTTTAGCTATTAAGGTCAAAACTGGCATAAATGCGATTATTTTTAAAAAATACTCATGATATAACAACTCCGCCTCAGAATTGGACTGTGGTATTACATTTAGCTATCAATTTTGATGTCATTGTGACCTAATCGCTACGTCACGTTGGCATCGCAATGTGACGGCAAATGATGGCACCATTATATGTCATCATCACATGGTGGTAGGTGGGTCAATTTAGAGTATAGTAGAAACGTTTACCCTGTCACAGAGGCACGAATAATGCATAAAGCTTGCTATAGTTCTGACCCGGAGCATAAAATTTTCAAGCTGGTCGTTGGCTTTCACCTGCCAGCCATCTTATGCCAATTCATGCGAGCTGTTTCACTTCACTCTCCCTCTATCCATTTGGCTTACACTGCCAGCCATATACTTGCTCATGAGTCTCCTAACTTTTCTTTTGCCCTTGAGTCAACGCTCTTACCATATAAATACCGGAACACTTTTTCCTGCAATATGCTGCATTTCATGCTTCTTATTGTCTCTTCAACATTAATTTTCGAACAAATGAAGGTGCTCCATCGACAGCATCTCTATCCCCCTGTACGTAGTAGAGGTTACGTCATCAGTACGTTACCTGCTCTGAGAGTTATTGTCACACTGCATCATTTCTAGATGTAGGACAAAACGTAGGGTCTTGGTAAAAATTGTGCAAAGTAAGAGGATTTTTGTCTTGGCGTAGACTGTATCGTCCAAAAAATCGGTGCACATTACTGGAAAGCACTTTAAACCTGGAAATTATGTAATAATCTTTTCTCTTCAAAAATTCAGTTTATAAGGTTATCCTATGCCAGTTACCGAAACTGGGGTGCTCGTCAAAGGTATATTTGTCTTGAATAATTGCACAAATTCGCACACATATATATACAATAAATCTACAGTATTTTACAAAACATTTTGAACGGCGCAAATTTTTTGGGAACGTGAGCGTCAGTGGAACTTCATAAAATAACCAGGTACGAAAAAATTCCCTCTAATCCGAGAGTTTCACGCCAACACCTGCCCTGTTTTGCGTTTTCCGAGTACCCTGCATTTATTAGAGACAGGCCTTTAGACACACCCTTTATTTTACACTCTTTAGTGAGTAGGTAATATTGAATAAAGGGGAATTTTTTCACAACAGACTATTGTAGGACGAATGACCAATTACTTTTTGGACTATTTATAAAACGAACTACCTCATTTATTCTTTTTTTTGCCCGGGTGACGCACATACTTTCAACTGAAACACAAATTTTAACATGGTAAGAACGTTTTTGAGGCCAATATTAAACCTATGTAGCGCCCTAGGATGGTCTAAGACAAATTAGGCAGGAAAGTACATGCGATTTAGAAACACGACAAATTTGTCCACGGGAGCTTTGATAAAAGTAAGTTTTGTTTTAACTGAGGAAAAACATTTGGAAGCCTATTTCTACCATCGCGTTATTTGCTATGGTAGAAATACAAACCGACTGAACTTGCTGAGGAAGATGAAGAGGTAGTGTATTCGCAGCTGATGATTTTCAATTATTTATGAATGTCTTCATTTTGGGAATAACCAACAGAAGAAAACATATAAAAATCTGATTAGTTTGAATGCCACAGTTCTCCGATTAATGAATTGCATTGCATAGTGCAGCCTTCATTATGAGAATAATTTGGCATCAAAATAAGCCAAGTCTCAACGTTCATGCAAGATGGGGAAAGGAATTGTGAACATGGTAATTTAGAGTTAGTTTTCACGAAGTTCATCTATACATGTAATTGGCAATGATGCGATGAGCAGCCGCGTATTCATGCCTTACGTACGTCGTCCACGACATTCCGTTTTCGACATGATAGTTTTGGTGTTTGCAGGTGGGTAATTTTTATTATGCACTTTACGATGCGCTTGAATCATAAAGGGGCGTCCAAACTGAAATGATTCTGATGAGTTACGGTTACGACGATGATGCACAGCCCTCTTGAAAGTTATATTCGCTGACCTTATTGAAGAGCACATACAGCACAGAAGGGTCAGATGCTTCAGTACATGTCGTTATGCATACGTACAGCCAGTTGAACGTGCTAACAAATTAAAACAAACCACCCTATAGGGCGTGCATAACTTGCAACTGGAATTAATTCACGGCAACAAAATTTTATTGATTTGAAGGGACCGTGTATACTCACTTCTCTAACTTATTATCGTCATTCGTCACTCTTCTTTCTTCCGATTCACAACCCCGGTGTGTAGTAGCAGACTAGAACATGTTATCACTCAGGCCAACTTCTCTGTCTTTCGGTAAATAAACCTGTCTCCCTCTCTCAAACACGACGTTGCCAGCAGACGACGCAGGGAGCAATCCCCACTAGGTATGCTCAGCCAGTAGCCGCCAGGCGTCGACTCCGCTACATCTCGCGTCCAATGACCTTGCAATCCTGAGGCGAACCTCAAACGTCTTCCACAATTTTCCTTTTATGGGGTGAAATATTGCAATGTTTTTGCTGGTCGAACTGCAGGGTAGGACGAGACACGAAGAGAAAGGCAAGTCAGGCATGTGCCGTTATAGTGCTGGTTTTACTGAGGGATGAAACCCAGTCTTCACTCTCAGCGAATATGAAATGTCCCCACGGCCGAACAAAGGTACCACTAAAGACCATAAAAATCAACACGTTAAAGAATTGTCAGTGATGCAGTTAAAAGCTATAATAAAGACACGTGACAGGCTATAAAACACAACACAAACTTGAACAAACAAAACGTACATGAGAACGATCTTGCGGACGTGTAAAAACCACGTGGACTGCCCACAATGACCTGACATCAATTCACCTAATTCTCTATGTCACCTTGTTCTAATATATCCACAGCGAAAATCAAACGAGCAGATGTAAGAAAATAATTGTAATCATTAACCTTATGAAGGTTTTATATGCGGCTGATTAAGAAAAGTGAATCATATATATGTGTGTCCTTCCTGTCGATGGCTGCCACATCAAAAGCAGAAAGCGTCTGAGCATACATAGCTTGTATAAACTGAACAAAGAAATGTTCGATAAAAGGGAGTCTCACTGAATTTCGCAGTCACCTCACAAGAAACAATCGTTGCAATGAGCAACAACGCTCCCACAGTCTTCATCGTGGCACCACTCTGCATACCGTGCGCTCACGAGAGGAAAAGCCGATTTCCTGCGAGTAAAGCAAAAAAAAAAAACATATCCAGAATAAAATGGAGCTCGAACTGGGTCACTCTTCGTGGCAGTCTAGCTATCTACCACAGAGCCACAGAGACCATATAAAGGTGTCATGGGGAAGGAATAATGCGAACATTTGTAATATAGCGTAGTCCCACGTACTATATGAATGGGATGAGAAGCGTGCTGAGGGAATGTGACTGTGGTGTAAATTTTGTGGGATGTGAACGTTATGAAACGACGCCGCATACATGTACGAATATTATACACAAAGACATTTTTGTTGAGCCGTCGCACGTGTTTATTACAACGGGTGTTTTACAGTTTCATAATGATCCCCAGAGGAACAGAGTTATTACGAAAGGTTTTATAGAACAGCCCAGAGGATCTTAGATTTTCTGACTCTTGACAACTTCGATCCTTTCGCCAACTCACGTGTGGCATATAGCAACATATCACTGCCCTTGGTATGTGGGTATGCGTCAGATGTGAAAGCCAAAAAGAGCACCAAATAGACATTGAGAGTTTTATAAGACAGTATATTATGCTACACTATAAAAGGCTCAAGGTACCCTATATTTAATTATGGGAAACACCGTATAGTGATAGAGTGCGGATTACTTTCTAGCACTTGCGGTTCTTTAACGATATCCCTTGATTTAAGCAAATGGTTTTATTTAATTTTACCTCCATCGAGATGCAATCGCAGTTCCTGGGTCAAAGTGTGGGCATGTGACAGCAGCAGTGAAAATGGCGTTGCTTAAGCCCTTCCTGTTTTTCACACAGGTCCTGCTGGCGCAATTGGCCGCTCTTCAGTCGGTCGGGATTCAAAAATAACAAAGGAGGAAAAACTGATACGCGATGGAAAGAACAGCTACATAACAAAATGGGCCAAAAACACTACAAAAGATACAGGCTAACGACAAATATGCGGAACATTAATAAAATAACAAGATGGAAATCAAAGGAGAGAGACACTAGGAATTAATTACAGAATGATCATGGTGGCGCTTTAGAATTTAAACGTGCGACGCAGCGCACACTACAAATATTTAAAAAAAAGGCTGGTTAAAACAAGTTTACGGTTTAACAAAAAAGTCACAATAAAAAGTTCCATACGGACCAAACCAGCCCTTGGTGCACGTAGGGGAGTTGACGGGTGCCGCTGAAGGTCTCGCCGGCTTGGTAGACGACGAGGGTGCCCGGAATTGCAGCCGTCTCAATACGTTGCGCGGGTCACTCCGTGCTCGCCGCCTACGCGAGACTCGCGACACCCCGACGACCGCACTTGTTGCTGTCTCTACGTCAACTGCCTATTCCGATGCAGTCCAAACCTCTTCAGGGGCGTACACGTGTTCCCGTCTCATCTGGGAGAAATTTTCCTTGTTTAGATCGGCGGTGCCCCTTCCGGTACCGGTGCAGGGAAGACGAGCCGGCGCCACGCTGGGTCGTTATAGTCGCCGGATGTCGTCCCCCAACACAAAAGCGCCCTTCCTTGGTAGGTGGGGCCCGCGGCTGCTCCGAAAATTGGAGTCGTTTGTGACATAGCCCCCTTCTTAAGAATATTACTGTGTAATATTCAAGAAAATCACAAACGCGCAATGTTCGAGAGCTTGCAGTGTTCTGGTTGTCCACCAATGCGTTTTCTTTTTCGCACACCATTTCACTGACGTGGACGACATCGCTGAGAACACCTGACACATTACAATTCACGGTCATCATACGATGAATGTCAGAACTCGCGCACAACGTCATGGCCACACACATGAAAAGACAATGACAAAAATACTGCACATTTCCAAGCTAAGGCACGTAAGCATCCTTTGATGCCACATATTAAAAACAATACACGCTTTAAGCGGTATTAAAAAGTCACTTATTGACACGCAGCTTTCGAAAAAGATGAATAAGTAATAAATCGGCATGATCATTTGTGCACAGTTCTTGGACATGCTCCACACTAAAGCGCTTCCTTTCAAAATAATAATAGGAAGAAAAGTCTTGAATAACATAGCGCCATGTTTGTGCACTCATGCGTACCGTAATTTACTTAAATTGTACGACCAAGCAGTACCTTAAATTAAAAGTCCAACTAAATAAAATAACAACGTCCCTAAAACAAAGCTTTCCAAGCTGAACGGGTAATAGGTTGAAACAACAGAACATCGTCTACACACACACAGACGACACAAGAAAACCAAAAGATTAACTAAGCTATTAGTCCCCCCATTCATGGAATGAGCCTATATCAAAAGACATAAATGAACATTGTTTCAACCAACAAGTCATTTGCCTTTAAGGTCACCTTTGAGTTCCTATGTACGTAACCTTTATCCGTGCTCGAGGTGGTCGCGCTCTTGGGGAGCCGTTCGAAACAAACGGGGCAGAGAAAAGCGTGTACGGCCGCTACACGGACGCCTGTTTCCCGTTAGTCTACACCTCGGAGGCATGCCCTCATCGACACCGCGTTCTACGGAAACGGGTCTCCGAACCACGTCGTGTCGCTCGGCCGAAAGGCGCTGCCTCGCAAGGCGCCCCGCGTTTCGAGCAGGACAATGGAGCGAAGGGGGCTGGCTCTTTCGAGCTCCACGAACAAATGCCTGCCTCACCCCTCTATCTGTCGGGCGGTTTGAAGCATAGGGACCCACTCGACTGGCGAATGCCACAAAACGCACACGAAGCTTTCGTTGCCTCGCCATGCTGCCTAATAGGCCGTTCCTCTGCGTTATGCAGGTCCTGCTGGCGCAATTGGCCGCTCTTCAGTCGGTCGGGATTCAGCCGGACGGGACTCAATTCGATGCACGCGCGGATCCAACAGTTCTACTGGCGCAGTTGGCCGCTCTTCAGTCGGTCGGGATTCAGCCGGACGGGACTCAATTCGATGCACGCGCGGATCCTACATTACGCTCTGCACCGCATCGTCAGTGCTTCTGGCCTCACGTTATCAACCCGCCATACCACGTGACTCCTTCAGACGCCTTTATAAGAGCCATGCCGCATCGCTTCAACTTCAGTGGGTGTGGCGGACCAGGCCTCGCCATGCTGCCTAATAGGCCGTTCCTCTGCGTTATGCAGGTTAGTGTTTATTATAGCTCTATCAAAAGTGACTATCGTGGCCTCCTGGTCCTGCCATGCCCACGCCAGTGTCTTGAAATTTTATGCAATGTTTTTTGTGCATGCAAACTTTTGTTATGTGGGGATGTTGAGTTGAACCCTGGGCCGAGCACTGAAGCCTTATTGACTAAACTGCTGGAAGGCCAAAATAAGTTGGTCACAGAGATGGCTACTTTGAGGGATCAGCAGTCCAACATGGAAAAAATGATTTCAGACCTTAACAAGCGTTTCTCGAATTTGGAATGCATATCGATCGAATAGATGGCCTAGAACAGGCGGTCAAATCGCTACAAGCGAAAGTAGCTGACATTGAGGATAGGAGCAGGCGTTCAAACCTGGTTTTGTTTGGCATTCAGGAGGGCAGCACTGAAACTGAGACAACTCTTCGCGCTGAGGTGATTGAAAACCTTTTTTGGGACAAGCTAAACGTAAGATGCAGCTCTGTTGTAAAAATCCACCGCATTGGAAAGCCGGGTAAAATGAGGCCAGTAATTGTATCCTTTCAAAACTATAACGAAAAGCAGGATGTTCTTAAAAATGCACGAAAGTTAAAGGGAACAAAATTTACATTCAGAATGACTATTCGGTGGATACTCTAAGGAAACGCAAGCTTTTATGGCAAAGTGCAAAAGAGGAAAAAAAACAGGGCAAGAAAGTGATTCTTCTGCATGATAAACTGCGAATAGATAACGAACTTTACGTATGGGATGATGTCACACATTCGAGGGTAGAACTGGTTACTCGGCGAAAAGTTTCCTCCAGGGATTGACAGATACCTTCTCGCCTTGAGGAACTGCGCCTCTTAAATATCAATGCGCGTAGCATTGTGAACAAAAGTGATAATCTTGAAGCTTTGATCTTGGGATACAGCCCTCATGTTGTTGTGATCACTGAAACTTGGCTCCGAAGTGAAGTTCACGACAACAGTATATTTCCGCCTTCGTACCAAGTATTTCGTCGAGATAGAAGTTCAAAAGGAGGTGGCGTTGCCGTCCTGATTAAACAAAACATTTCAGCAGCACTTTCAAAACAAATCAATAACCATGAAACTATTACCTTGAAATTGTCATGCTGGGGCTTTTCCTTAGTACTAGTAGCCATTTATCGCCGTCCCGATGCTCCACCGGAGTTTTTGCAGGATTTATGTGATCACGTCTTGGGTTTTAGACAACAAAAAATAATTATTGCTGGTGACTTCAACCTTCCTGGTGTAAATTGGGAGAACCCGTTTGCTTCTAATGAACCCAGTGCTCATGTTCACAGTGTACTGGACTTATTGATGTGCTGTAATTTGGAACAGGTGGTTAGACAACCTACTCGTGTTCAGGGTAGTTCCTCTTCTATATTAGATCTTGTTTTTTTGAGCCGATGCATGACCGACTTTTCTGTGACAATTGAACCTGGTCTTTCAGACCACTATATGGTGAAGTGCGTATGCCACTTCTTGACAAAGAAAAGTGCTCCTTCTAAAACTGTCGCAGTCAAAGATTACCTTCATGCAGCGGATGAAAGCGTCTTAGACTTTCTTGACATAAACTTGAGCAATTTTGGTGGGTCTGATGTTTCTGAGCTATGGGAGACATTTAAAAGGTTATGTCTATACTGCATAGATCATTTTGTGCCAAATAAAATGAAAAGGATCGCGAAAAAAAATCCGTGGATTACCCGTGACATCTTGCATCAAAAAAGGAAACTAAAACGATTACGACGTCACCGCGCATCTCAGACAACTATTCACACAAACCAGACACTTTTAAACCAGTCTATCCGATGTGCTAAGCAATTTTATTTTCAACACACTCTTCCAGACTTCATACGGACGGCTCCTGATAAATTCTGGTCGCAATTATCTCGCAAGAAAGAAGGTACTCTTCAAATAATTCACAATGATACAATCGTTGTAGATGAAACAAGCATAGCGACACATTTCAATGAGTACTTTCAAAGCGTTTTCCAAAAAGATTGCGACAGCGCACGGGCTTCTGCTACCTCTCCTTATCTCGACGCAGACATCGTGTCCTTATCTGGTGTTGTATCTATGCTTCTGAATTTAAAGACTAAAGCTTCGCCTGGTCCCGATAACATTCACAACGCGTTTCTGCGTCGATACGCTGAGATGGTTGCTAAATTCCTTGTGATCATTTTCCGCGCCTCCCTGTCTTCTTCTTCTGTTCCGATAGATTGGAAAATAGCGCGAATTGTACCAATACTCAAATCAGGAGATAAATTATTGATTACAAATTATCGCCCTATATCTATTACCTGTTCTTGTTGTAAGCTTCTCGAGCACGTCATAGCTAACTACATCACTAATTTTCTTAATGAGAACAATATACTAACCCCATTTCAACATGGGTTCAGAAAAGGTTTGTCCACTGTTACTCAACTGGTCACAGTCATACATACTTTCGCATCTATTCTTGATAAATCCGGGCAAATTGATGTTATTTTCTTAGACTTTAGGAAGGCTTTTGATCTAGTTCCCCACAATAAATTGATTTTCAAACTTAAAAATATTGGCCTTCCAGAGTTTATTGTAAATTGGGTATCCGCATACTTGTCAAATCGAACACAATTTGTTGATATAAATGGTCACTGCTCATCCAAACTTCAGGTTACATCAGGAGTTCCTCAGGGAAGTGTTTTAGGGCCCCTACTTTTTTTAATCTATATAAATGATATTGTTGAAGTTGTCCCTGAATATGTCGGAATAAGGCTATTTGCCGATGATTGCGTGCTGTACAAGGAAATTGTTACCATGAATGATCAACAGCTTTTAAATACCTGCCTTGATAACGTTTACCAGTGGTGTAAGCAATGGGATATGAAGCTAAACTCAGACAAAACAGTGTACATGAACATCACTAGAAAGAAAAACTTCTTTTCTTTTCCATATGCGCTACAAACTCACGTACTCAGGGAGGTCAGTGTGTATAAGTACCTTGGCGTAACGATAACCAAAAATCTAAGTTGGAATATGCATGTATCGAACATTTGCGCATCCGCCTTCCGTAAGCTATGCTTTCTCAAGTACAAACTTCGTTTTGCCCCGTCATCAGTGAAGCTGTTAGCCTATAATACCATCATTAGACCTTCTCTCGAGTATGCGTGCGTCATTTGGGACCCATACACTAGGAAAAACATTCATGCCATAGAAATGATTCAACGTAAATGCATCAGGTTTATATTTTCTAAGTACCGCATGACAGACTCCCCTACAGCTATCATGAAAGAAAATAATATACAAGAACTTCAACTTCGTCGCAAAATTCTGAGATTAAAATTTCTTTTTCATTTAAAACACAAACATTTCGCACTAGATGCCTCTACGTTTATACAACCACTGACGTCACGAGAAACTAGAAATCGCCATGCTGCGTCAATAACACCATTCCAGACACGTACCAATACATTTAAGTTCTCTTTTTTTCCTAGGACCATTGTAGACTGGAACGCCCTGCCGTTTGAGTCGTTACAGAACATTGAACACTTTGATTTTATCACTTCATAACGTTAAGCCCCAAAATGCTCCTATCGCTGCGCCATATGTTATTGCGAATATGTATTGGTGTGTATAGTTTTGTGTAAATATACTTAATTTGGTCACGAATTGTTACTAATTTATGTGGTGAAAATTGCTGTTGAATATTAATTGTCATGCGTACATTTATTAATTTTGTGTGCCTTGACTGCTGATTGCTTGTGATTTTTTTTTTCCCACTCCTGCATGGGCTCTGAAGTGAGCCTGCAGTATTCTGTAAATAAATAATAAAATAAAGTCGGTCACCATGGTGGGTAATCATATAGGGCGATTAGCGTGGGTTAAACGAGCTACACATATTCTTGGTTATAATTAACGACGCTCTGTTGAATACAAACGCTAACAAACGTGACCGAACAACCCTCAGATATATAGTCCAAATCGTAAGCCTATAGTAAGCATACACCCTTCGTGGTTGCCTAACTGTTATGGTGCCAGACTGCTGAATCGCCGGTCGCGGTATGTAATCCCGGCCGCCCTTGTGGTGGAGGCAAAAATGCTGAAGGCTCATGTACTTAGATTTAAGTGCACGTTACAGAACAACAGGTGATCGACATTTTTGTAACCCTCCATTGTACGGCATCTCTCATAAGCATATTGTTGTCTTAAGAGGTTAAACCGCAACAGCTAACTGTCGAGAAGCATACAACGATCCAAACTTGCAAAAAGACCTAGATCGCTTACAGAACAATTGGCGGATAACAAAACATGTGGCATAGTCAGCTCTTTGTTGGTGGCTTCACACAAATTTTCAAGAATTCCCACAATGCAAGGAACCTGCCGGAGCTTTATATTTTAAGAATGTGTAGAATTGCCAATTTAAACAAAGTGGTGGAACATGAGCCCGAAGGCTCAGACACCTTTTTACGTGCGCTATCCGCAGGCAGGGCAAAAAAAAAACTGTTTTCGTGCAGAAGCATAAGGCAAGCTATTCAGTATATTATGAGGATATGCAGCTGGGTGACTTGGTTAACATTGAAAAAAAAAATAGCGTGCTAAAACGTCGAACAACATCAAGAAAACAACAGGACAAGGGCAGTATATTGCCCGGCCATGGTGGTCTAGAGGCTAAGGACTCGGCTGCTGATCTGCAGGACGCGGAATCAAGTCCCGGCTGCGGTGGCTGCATTTTCAATGGAGGCGAAAATGCTGTACGCCCATGCGCTCAGATATGGGTGTACGTTAAAGAACCCCAGGTGGTCGAAATTTCCCGAGCGCTCCACTACGGCGTCTCTCATAATCATATGGTCGTTTTGGGACGTTAAAACCCACATATGAATCTAGCGCAGTATATTTTTTCATCAACACAGCACATTGCGGACATACAATAATGAGACTGCGCAGTGAACGTAACTTTTGAGTGTCACCAATATTAACGGGGTCACTGAATAGTCTGCTAAGCGATGTGAAAAGGTGATTGCGTATTGCGACAACTTACTTGAAATGCGTGCGTCGCCGCTGCTCGAGCTGACTGAGCGAGCACCAACCCGACAAAGCCTTAAATTCATACGCCTTCGGCATCACTTCCGTTCGTGGTCGTCACTCATTAGTACTAAAAAGCGATGTTTCAACCAAGTGCTAGCCATCTATACGATTTATCTTGTTTCTATTAGGAGCAAAGGAAGGGGCGTAACGGGATGTTTTGAAAGTGACATCCATATCCTGCCGGCGCGCACTTCTCAGAGCGTGGCCAGCACGCGCCGCACGTGCCTTTGAAGCTACTTGCCACCGGATTACCCCACTTTCTCTGTTCATGTAATTTCGCTTGTTTTTATAGGCTCTTTTCCCAGGTGTTTGTCGGTATCAACACAATAGACAAAGGGCACTGTACTCAAAGGTGGTGACTGCTCCAAGGACCCACTAGGAGGTTCCTGAGCAATGATCAAGCAAACGAATGCTCTCGCCAGGTTCCTAGTCGGGGAGCGTCGCCCTGACCTCGCGACCCTCCCGCACATGACAGAGCCAGCTCGAGCAACGGTGCTCGCTCTCCTCTTTTGCCCTCTTAAATGACCCCTAGTGAGAAAACGCTTCAAAAGCGCCTTCATTGCGTCAATATGCACCTGAATGAAGGTACGCTGTTGATAATGAGGGTTTGGCAAGCCAAGTGTAGGATCTTAGTTTTTTACATGTCATTGAAGAAGACACAGAATTAATTTGCACCATTTCGGCTCCCTTAATTTTTATCCGTGAATAAACTCCACCCGAATATGGCTGTCATGGTGTTGCACCGAACCAAAGTGCTAAACTTTACTAATGGAATGTCTCATATTGCACGATACTTCTGGAGGTTGCGTGTGTTTGAGTGTGCCTTTGAACCAACAATCCGCAGTTTTATAACGTCACTTATAGAATTAGCTGCTGAACACTGGCGAAGCGAAATTGTTTCGGATTCTACTTCGGGATTCGTCCCTTTGTATAACAGATATACAAGAAAACGCATGCACATTTTTAGGTTTTAACGTTAGTCGATAATTCGATCATCGCACCAAAAAGAATATTTTATCCTTACTTTCCGAGTAATCTGTAAGGCTTTTCCTGTGGATTTGTGCTACAAAAGAGTGGTTGCAAATTGCACTTTCATCACAATCTAAAGGTTGTGATGCACGTTGCGTAGTGGGTTTGTGCCAGCGTTCATCAAATGAATATCACCATCTGGAGAACGTTGAAAACCTGACTGATTACTCGCTGACCAATACAACGCGCGTGTCGCTCTCCAAGCGCCGCTTTGACACCACGAGGTCCAGTTACCATAAGTACGCGTCACAGAGGATGCAAGAACGTCCAAGCAGCACCATGGCGTTCCCGTCACCGCCGCCCTACTCGCCACCTCCGTCCTACTCGAGGTGCGAGATCCGGCCAATGATGACCTCCAATGTGACGTCTTCTTCAGAGACACCCACGGAGATGTCAATCACGGGGCCCTCAAGGAGCAGCCACACTGGCCTACCGGTATATCTGTCACGGCACGCTTCCTTACCACATGCGCGAGTTTCCCAATCGATGGTCTCACGGTAAGCTCACCTGTGACGGTAACTTAGAATGTTTTATTATTGAGGTTTCAAAGTCACATGTTCCTTCAACCTCAGGTCGTAAAAATTATGTAGGTTGCACCTGAAGCGGCAGTTCTTGAATGGTTCCCGTTACCATAATAATGAAACAGCCAGGATGGTTTTCCGACCCATGCATTGCGAAATTTATTTCAGTGGTACCATAATACAGACGGCATTAGTCTTGTAACCGTGACTTCAATGTTCATACAGACACGAAATACTATGGATATTCGGGATACGTTAAGACAATGAAATGACATACTATCGATGAAGCAACACACTCGAACACTAGTGACGTTGAAAAACACACACGTCCGAAAACATTCGGAGTCTGTGGTGTGTTTTGTTTTTCTATGTCTGTGCTTGCGTAATACCCTGGTAAGCACACGTGAAGCAAACTGCAGCGTCTTTTTGCAGTTATCATTGCTGTAACAATATACGCAAATTTTGTGTTATGGTTTTCGCGCCGATGCAGGTGTTCACATTGCCTTCTACAACATACCCCCAAGCATTCACGCAATCTTAATTTCACTTCTTTAGATTCCTGACAAGTCTAATCCTGATTTGCGAAGCATTAGGGTAAGGTGGGGTAATATGAGACACTGGGCAGAACGTGACATTGACTTTCATGACTTCTGTAGGTAAGACAAAAAAATTTTTGTTTACCTTTTTTATGTGCAAAAGCTTATCATCGCTCAGAGCGTTCGCGTAGAAACGTTACGTGGCTGGTGTCGGTGTGTTCATGACACGTCAAAAAGCGGCAAAATTCTGCTTGGTCAAGTTTTGGATTCTTGTATGAAGCTGGCTTGCCGTCAGTACCCCAACTTACGTTTAGCTGCATACCACCAAAAGTTGGTTCCAAGGAGGTTATACTAAGTGTAAGCTCATTGGCTGGCTCGTTTGTGTCAAAGCGGAAATTTTTACAGCGAAATCTGTTATGAGATCCGAACAGAGGTCACGTGTGGCGCCGTAGTTGTCCGCCGCCACCGCGGTGTCTGTAAGCAGTATCGCAAGAAATGAGAAAAAAAAGCTCAGTAAATCAAAAAACACCAAGGGCACCATGGAATTAAAACCCGGGCCCACTGCTTGCCACTGCAGTATTCTACCACTGATCTACGCTGGTGCTCAGAACTTGTTTCAAAACTGACCTTAGGCAGGTTGTTTGATGTTGAGAAAAAAATCGCGTTGATATGACAACTAAAACGTTTTCGAACATCAAAAGAACAACCAGGTGTCAAACAATGCTAATTGCGTAACGAGTAGGTCGTCCGATGCTACAACACATTACAAAAACGTGTTCTTGATCACCTATCAAGTGTGGCGCACACCCACTTCAGGAATATTTCTTTATAATCGTCAGCCACTGAATGAACAATAGGCACAACATTCCTTGCAAGTGTGTAGCGGATAGTGCGGTTCTCCGAAAAATGACGAAGGATAGCATATGCATGCTGGCCTACTACACAAAGTGTATGATAATTTATGGCGTATTGGGTACCCAGCAAGTGTGCTTGCAGCAGTTACCCAAAGAGTGTTTAGAAAAGGTTATGAAAGACCGCTCTTCCAGCTTTAGGTGCGACTGCGCTGCACATTCCGCGCAGGCCTGGCGTTTTTGTTTTGAAGTTCAACATGTGAAAGGGTCCCAGGTGCGACTGTGCTGCACATTCCGCACAGGCCTGGCGTTTTTTTTCTGAAGTTCAACATGTGCAAGGGTCCAAATGCGACAAAAAGGCATCAAAATTCCTTAGAACGTGTCTCGTTAAGTGAACCATTTACTTATGCCAATTATAGACAATATTCTGGTAGGTTTCGTCGTAAAACAGAGGTTTGGACGTAAAAGAAAATAAAATATAGAGGTTCATGCGTGGAAAACGACAAAAAAATATCGACTGCTGTTGAGGAGAAGGCTCAATCTATTCGCGCTTTACCGAGGTTGTTCCAAAGTATCCTTTGGAAGTTACGCTACCAGTTTATATATAAACTAGTATCGTAACTTCCAAAGGAGCCTAGGGATCCAATAGTCGGCGGCTCGTAACCACCATTTCCTTCTACATGAGAAGAGGACAACTAACAGCAAACCAAAAATAAAAATGATAAAATATGACGTCACAACCGGAAACGGTAGTGACGTCACCCATTTGCACTACATGGTGCGAACTTCAAATGTTGCTTAATTGCTGATCTTTTAGGGGGCCGTTCTTAATAAGTAATCTCATTGCGCCTTGTGCCTCACTAAGCAACGTTGTTTTATTAGCCAAATGACGTACTCAAAATATGCACAAACACTTCATTGAGGCAATTGTAAGGCAACTTTTCACAAGCACAATAGCATATTAGTTCGAAAACTCACATTGCCTAATCGTCGAAAACCACTGCAGCGAGCCAGCAGCTTTGAATATATAGCTTTCGCAGCCGTAGAGTACAGCGTATTGTCGCTTGTCGTGTCGCGTTCACCGTCACCAAAGGCGAGGGCACGCCGTCCGTGCGTAAGCGAAAGCAATCGGCAGTCACTGTAGCGGCTACCTACCCATTATGTGAGCTAGTTCAGCTCTGCCATGTCACACGAGTAAACAGGATAAAAAAATAAGTAAACTACTTAAGGTGCGCATGATATTACCACGAAAAAGTGAGCGATGCTTCGTTGACCTGGCAATGCGCCGAACTAAGCACAAGCACTGATAGCTGATTGCCTAATACGCCCACCTTCTCATGTATGGCGCTCGACGAAAAATTGAGGCAATCAACCATTTTGCCAGGTGTGAAAAAAGTCGTAAAGTAAGTTTATAGTTAACTGTGACATATACAAAATTACGACTATTTGAAGAAAAAAATATTTGGAGTTCTTGGTGTGGGTTGCTTGTCCCCTCCTCACCTAGTCGTGCTTGAATTGTCGACGGGCGTTGATGCCTGGGGCAATAGGTTTCCGACACTCTTCGTTCCAAGTTTCGCAACCCTTGTAATTTGACCATAGCTGTTTCGCGTTCCCGAGAATACTCTCAAGAGGTGCATGAACAATTTAAAAACACCTCCAAGTCAAGCGTTTCACAAACATGTCTTAGAACCGAGTTTTATGATCACTTTTTATATGAAACATTTTAAAAATATCAAGCTGTAGAAAATCCGAGAGTCATCCCCTAACAAAGTCCAGCTCCCGAAGTTGAAAACCACAAAATGCCCATGCAGTTTCGTATCCAAATGGCAAAAAGAGGCGAAGAACATGGGCTGAGAACATATCTAGCTTCCTATCATTGAATAATCTAATGAAGTGCAAGCATTCAACAGATTACACCATTAGCACAAAGAAATACTATGAGTGCTTGATCTGCTGGAGCTTGAAAGCGACACAGCTCCGAGTTAGCCTGGATTTGTTGCGTAGAGTGCAAGGACTGGGCTCATGAAGACTGCGTTGGGGCCCATTTCAGGTGTTTCTACTGCAAAATCTGAACGTATGACATTTTTTCCCACTGT